TGCCTTGGAGAATAGCTCGACTCCCTCTTCTTTGGGGCAACCCCTGAGATATTGGAAGACTACTATCCTGTCTCCCCTAGTCCTATTTCTCATCAAACTAGATAGTTCCTGCAATCGCTCCTCATATGTTTTAGTCTCCAGTCCCCCTAATCCTCTTTCTTGCTCTTCTCTGCACTCTTTCTAGAGTCTCAGCAACTTCTCTACATCCAAGTGTGGCCTTCCCAAGGCCTTATAAAGTGGTATTAACCCTTCACGTGATCTTGATTCTCTCCCTCTGTTGATGCAGCCTAGAGCTGTGTTGGCTCTTTGAATGCCTCCTCCCCAAAGGGTATCCCACCTGCTTGGACCTTCTCCAGAAGGCCCTGCTGCTCCAGGATGATGGCTTCCAGGCTCTGGATGACGCTGAGCTTGTCCTTCACCCGCTGCTGGTAGGCCCTCTTCAGCCCCCGCATCTGCCGGCGCCAACGGCCCTCCTGCCAGTGGAGGCGCGAACGATACTCGCCGGCTTTCTCCTGCAGCTGCTGTAGCTGGGAGTAGCGCTCCAGGAAGGAGAAGAGCTGGAGCATCATTTGCACCAGGGGCGACTCCGGGGGCTGCGTGGGGAGGGGAGGGGGCAGTCGGGGCCCAGAGCGGGTGGGAAGAAAGGGAGAGCGAGGTTAGTCACAGGGTGGGCAGCACCAGTTTTTCCCCAGTCTCCCAGAGGGCTGTCAAGGCAGGACTAGAATTCCCTGTCTCCTGGTGATTGGGCCAAAGGACTAGAATCCCTGCTTCTGCACCAAGATTGTATGAATGTGGCAAAAAGGAAGCCGCAGCCCTTGTGGGGCCCCCACCCGCCATTGCTTCAGGTTGTGGCTCTCCTGAGGCCCCCTCCCCAGGACAGGCCCCTCTCCTTCCCTCCCTGTAAGACTGGCACCCCCAGGGACCCCTCCCCTTCAGCAAGGAGGAAGCATGGCTGGATAGGGGAGGGCATTTCAACTCAGGCCCCCCCAGAGCCAGGAGAACGGGAGGGGGGGCAACCTTTCCACACAGCATCTCCCTCTCGGCAATGGCCGCCTCCCGCTTGAGGGCCAGGAACTCCGTCAGTGGGGTGGGGGCTTCCTCCGAGCCCAGGTCGTCCTCCTCGGAGGGGCTGCCTCGGTCGCTCTCGGAGCTGCCTGTGCCAAGGCCAAGGAGGCCGGTGAGGTTGAGTTGCCGCCCCTTGCCGAAAGCCCTGCGCCCCCCCCCCGCCTCCCCATGCCCGAAACGCTCTCTCCCACCTCCACGCAGCAGCCGAATCTGCCAGGCTTAGCTTGGCAGAGACGCTGAGAATGTAGCTCAGGGTTCAAATGGGTGGGTGGGGGGTGTCTTGGAGCTTGGTGGTTTCCCTGCAGAAGTTTTGTGACCCAAACTAGGGACCCTCATTATTTAATTAAAAGGAAGTGAGGTTTGNTTAAGATATTTGAATTAATATGAATTAATGGAAGAGATGCACAAAAACATGTTGTAGCCAGCTGATATACTTTTTTATAATTTTTATAATATATACTTTTGCTTTTTCTTTTTTTCTTTTGTTTTCTTTTGGTTTTTTTTCCCCTGTCTTGTTTTCTGTTTTTTGTCTTTTTTGTGTTTTGATTTTTTCTTTTCTCACTGGTGTGGGCATGTGTTGTTTATGTAACAAAAAAATAAAAAAAATTAATAATAATAAAAAAAAGAAATTGTTTGGCACATGGGCAGAACTGAAAAACAAGATGACGGCGGCAGCGGTGGCGATCAGGGAACCAATTCAGGGCGTAGCAGGCCTGGGTTGCTGCCGGTTCCAGAGATTCAGTCCGCCAAATCAGTACTGGTTCGGCCAAACCAGTAGGAACCCATCACTGTGTCATGTGTGAATGCAGTCACGCAGCGTACTAAGATTAAGTTATGGCTAATTGGGTATAACGGTGAGGGGGCTGGCCTAGAAACCAGGAGATGGGGAGTTCTAGTCCTGCCTTAGGCATGAAGTCTGGCTGGGAGGCTTTGGGCCAATCACCAGGAGTTTGTGAGTTTTAGTTCCATCTTAGATATGAAACAATGAAAAAAGTTTTGCACGCCAAACCGGCAATAATGCCGGCAGCAACTCACCCCTGCAGTGCTCATCTCCGTTTCAAAGCCGAAGAGCCAGTGCTGTCCGAAGACGTCTCCGTGGTCACGTGGCTGACATGACTAAACGCCGAAGACGCACAGAACGCTGTTCCCTTCCCACCAAAGGTGGTTCCTATTTTTCTACTTGTGTTTTTAACATGCTTTTGAACTGCTAGGTTGGCAGAAGCTGGGACAAGTCACGGGAGCTCACTCCGTTACACGGCGCTACGGATTCGAACCGCCGACCTTTCTGATCAACAAGCTCAGCATCTTAACCACCCTTATATTTATATTTTATATAAACACACATATATAAACCTCTCTGTGTGTGTGATAGACACACACACATATATAACACATATATCTATTTCTCTCTGTGTGTGTATATCACACACACAAACACAATATCTATGTTTCTGTGTGTGTATGTCACAGACACACAAATATCTATTTTTCTCTGTGTGTATATCACACACACACACAAAATATCTATTTTTGTTTGTGTGTATATCACACAAATATCTTTTTCTGTGTGTGTATATCACACACACACAAATATCTATTTTTCTGCGTGTGTATATCACATACACACAAATATCTATTTTTCTGCGTGTGTATATCACACACACAAATATCTTTTTCTGTGTGTGTATATTACACACACAAATATCTATTTTTCTGCGTGTGTATATCACACACACAAATATCTTTTTCTGTGTGTGTATATTACATACACACAAATATCTATTTTTCTGCGTGTGTATATCACACACACAAATATCTTTTTCTTTGTGTGTATATCACACACACAAATATCTATTTTTCTGCGTGTAGATCACACACACACACACAAATATCTATTTTTCTGCGTGTGTATATCACACACACAAAT